AAAAGCAATAAATATACATGTTAACTAGGATTCAATGACAGACAAGCGACGAATCATATCTTGCAGTTTACCTTTCTCTGCATTCTCGTGATTTGTCGCAGCTTGTAAAAGAACTCTCGGCCCTTTTACCGAATCCTTCTCAGAATTTTTAGGACACCTCGCCGTGTTCCTCGCATCGACTCACTAGGACTCATAATTGTCCGCTAAGGTGGATTAAAGGCCGTAGAGATAGAGTCGACTAGATGGATAAGGGCTAGATAAGGGTGGCTGAAAGAGGGGGCAGGGAATGAGACAGGGAGGGAAGGGGAAAGGGGGAGGAGGCACAACGGAGTATGAAAGATGGGGTCCCGATAATCGGACGGTGAACCGGATCAATTAAATCCTACGTGCCAGACATTAATTATCGAAGGTGTCGTCGACAGTTTCCGATCGCGCGTGCAATCGAAGTACGATATTCAGAACGAGTTCAGGATTTTGCTCGCGGCGCATCCTCCTCATCCTACCATCCCCAACCCTCGCCCATCGTCGTTTCCTCGCCTCCTCACCTCCCAGGTTTCTCGGTTGCTCTTTCAGCCTCGTCTAGGTTACCCTAGAGTGCTTATTTGAATCGATCTCAGCTTTCATCGCGAATAAATTGCAATAAGATGCAATCGGATATGCAGCTTTTGCTCGGGTATATTTTTAGCGATTCTAGAATTGGGGTATGAATCTATTACAAACATACAAATAAAATAAAACTCGATGTGTGCTAAAAATATCATTCAACTCAACTTCAAGTTATGTAAGCTGTACAAGAAACGGAATATTTATATTGCTAAATATCGCTCTATAGAAGTACTAAAAGTCAGTACAATAGTCAGCGTATAAATCTTGGTCAAACGTCTAAAGTGACATAATAAAACAAATAACGTCTTTCACATCGTCTTTGTACATCAAGAGATTAACAGTGTTCACCAGCAAAACATCAATAACAATATCTCAATAACAATATCTCCGCTAGAATTATATAAGTTCGATAATTGGATGATGCAAAGGTCATATCGCGAAACTTTGTTACTATCGAACAGTCGATTCGATGTAACTTTATCCAACGTGACATAATCACGCCTTATTGCTGTACACCCTCAGGTGTTGAGGTTTGCATCCTCTTACGCCATTCGATCTTGATTCGCGCAGTCGCGCGAAGAAATTGCGAATATAATCCGCGACGGCGGTAAATCGATCGAGGATGTTACGCAAACGCCGATGTCGATGGCGTATATCGAATTATTGATAATTCACAGTAAATTTCGATGCTGCCGATCGGCAAATATAACTGCTGTGGCTGAACGTGACCTAATGGGATCGCGCCAAAAGTCGATAGTCATCATCGTGACGAGATCTCGCGTCTTAATCGGATTTTATCGCAGCTTTTCCTCGATGTAACGTAATATCCTGTGTTATTTCCGTCGCAGTCGCGTTATTTTAGAAATAAATGGCATCACAATCATGTCTCCTTTGATACACGTTATGAAAGTAATTTGAGATTAATTGTGATCTAAGTTGTAAATATCGTAATGATTAATTTCACAATCTCCAAAAAGTGTGATATATGTATATATTATTCTGTAATATTAATTTTATATAATATAAAGTGACTTTCGTTTAATTTGATTTAAATAAAAGTTTACTTTATAAATAATGATTTATTCCAAGAATTGCCGGAAGAAATAATGAAAACCATTTGTTAAAGTAGGAAATTATTAAAACATGGATAAAAACTCAATTAAAAAATTCAAGTAAGTCTTAAAACCTCTTAAGGCTGTATAAAACGTTAAGATGATAAATCTTAATTTATTCTTTTGAGTCTGACAGTTTTTTCTCTCATTTTACTTGAATATTTTATCATGAATATTTTTCTTGTTATATCTTTTCAGACATATTTTTTCTCTATATAGTATCTTATAAAATTTGCTTCAAGCTTCAGAAGTGCGATAAATATTTAAATTTTCCTTTCCACGAAAGTTCTAATTGACGTGCAATTAAACTTATTGCGCGTTGAAAAATAGAAAGCTTTAGAGAATCACGCATCTCAAATACAAGTAAATAGGAAAATTGTATCTTTTATTTAATTTTGTGCGAATAAAGTGTAAATCATGTATTGTAAAACCTAATTTTGTAAAACCTAATTTTGTGTAACCTGAAAGTTACAACAAAAGACACCGAAGAAAACTTGTATCGAGCAATTCTCTAAAATACTAAATATTTTCATCCCCTTCCCCCCATTTATTACATCTTTAAAATGTTATAAAATTTATCGCAGCCCGTCTGTGTAAAAATTATTACTGTTTAATATATGTGCAACGAGAATGTCCTTTGTAAATACACGGGGAAATAAAACACACAGAACGGATGTTGAGCGTTGCGTACATGCCGGAAATGTCTGGTTGCATTACTTTATATCGTGTTAAACCCTCCCTACCCGTCGTTGTCGCGAATTAACGTCGGCTACATTTTCGACGACGAGCGTGACGTTTTTGAGCGGCTTAAATATGGTGTCAGACAATCACGCTGTTTGAATGATCGGTGATCCAACTAAGCCTCGTTTAAATTTTAAGTGAAAAAGACTAGGCGGAACGCGCATCGATCGTTCGCGGTAGCTTACGAACTCGCGCCTCTGTTTTTATCGTGTCCGATATACACACAACACCCTGGGCGCATCGTTCTCTTTCCCTCTCTTTCTCCCTCCTCTTTTTCCCAAAAGAAATTATCGGGTAAAATCAAGAACATAAGCACATTGCTTGGCTTGGAGATTACGGTCGGCTCCAAGCGCTCAGCCCGTGAATGAAATCGTCGAAAATAGTTAGTCTCTTCATTCCATCGATCGTTCGGAGAAATTACGAGATATGAAAAATTCGTTTCAGCGTCGCAAACTCACATCATTGTCCCGTTTACTTGATTCGGAGCAAACTTACTTGTTATGCTTGTACACTTGCTAAGCCAATAGTAATTCTATGCCCTTCACACTACTAACTAAACTTGGACATACTACGTTCAGTCAATACCGGGGAAATATAGACAGTGCTATGCTATTCACAATTAAGGCAAACTTGTTCGTAATGCTAACCAATACTAGGTCAACATTCCCTTCGGCAGGCGAATTTGATTCTTGCTCAATAGATCGGACTGCTTGTTTTACCTGCATTTCTGGACGTTTGTATATTCAATGAAGAAATCTCTATGTCGTACAAGACGGTTTTACGGGTCGCGGTAAATTTCACGGGCATGCATACGTTACGATTAATTGGATCACTTAATGTCCAAAGTGATTCGGCGAAGACTTACTTTCGAGGTCAAATCGGGAAGCACTGTCAGCGACATTTTCACCGGCAGGGAATTCTCACCGGGCTGCGCGTTGTCGCTATCAAGCATTTACTTCTTCCGTCGTCAAACATTCAGACATCGTTTCCTCCAAGTTCCCTTCGAAGGGAAAAAGACGAGAAAGTCGAAGGAGACGCATGAAGGGAACGTCGGGAAGCTCTATTTCCGGTCGGTGGGGTCCGTATCGGGCCCCAACGCGAGAGCGCGCAATGGCCGACTTAAGGAAGTTTTACTGCGAGACAAACCGGAAGTGATTCGGCTACCCCGAGGGAAACTTTCTTTCCTTCCTGCGGGCTTTTTCGTCGGATTACGGCCGCCGACGAACATCCATTCTCGTTTAACGCCTTTATTTACCGTTTGCGGCTGTCTCTCCGGCTTCCTGCCGCTTATCGGCATTTTCTACGTCGCGCTCTTTACCGTTGCTTTATTTTTCCGCTGACCCGGCCGTAGGCCGCGCTAACGATAAGGGCTGATGAATATTTGTCATTCGTCGCGAGTCCATCGGCGCGGCCGGCGCGCTCGCGACGATCCCTTCTCGACATTCTTCCCCAATTCGACGCGAACGAATCGAACGACGTGCGCGCGTCGTCTCTCGCCGGGGTGTCCCTCGCGCTCACCCCCGAACGAAGACGCAATGTAAACTCGCAAAGTGTCGAATCATCAGCAGGGCTCGCGGATCAACGTCGAAGCGTTTTTCGCAGCGTGGCAAGAAAACTTTGACGAGACAGGTGTCGTAGTTTGTCCGCCGCGTCGCGTCTCGGGTTGCATTTCCCGTCCAATTGCATCTCAGCGCCAGCAGCGGACGGCCATTAGTATCGGCGCGAAAAAGGCCCGGGGCGACTGTCGAATGACACCCGGGAGCAGGTATTTTTTCGAGTCCAAGTGTGCCATTTTTTGCGTCCGCTCTGTCCTCTATTGCACAGGGTGTTCTTTCTATCACTCTTTGTTTTTTTTCGGCTCGCCAGTGTCCCTCGGAAAAATCTATAAATCTAGCGCGCGGGCTCGCGAATGTCAGGACCATTCGTCAGCGGGCAGATTGGTGGGTGGTGGGGATGAATTCGAGGAGGTCAGAGGGGCGGCGGAGGGGACGGGGAGGGGGGAGGGAAGGGGGAGGGCGTACGCGGGGTCGAACCCGTGTCAGGTGAGCGCTGCAGCTTCGTCCCACATGCAATAAAGCCGCGACGATTTTACGAGCGAGGCGAGCCGGATGACGAGGTAATTTACCTCCCCGTTGGGAGAGGGATGAAGAGACGACGGGGATGAATCCATGCCGTGACTCGCTACAAGGCGCTTCGATCGCCCCGATAAAGGTCGTCGCTTTTTACCCGACACCCCCGGCCGCGCGCGGCGATGCTGCGCGATTTTTCGTGTCTTCGCGGAATCTTCAATCTTCGTCCCCGGCTCTCGTATCGATCTCCATCGACTCGCATTATAAACGGCGCATCCGGCGCGTGTGCCGGAAGTACTGCGTAAACACGTTCAGCTTTAAATGTAGCAGCGCGAATTGTGCTGTTTCATTATCCGACGCACACACGCACACACACACACACACACATACACATATATTCGAACATACATGCACACTCAATCTCAGCAAAGACCCGGCGACTCAGATGCGACTGCGAATCCGATCGTTTCAGGCTGGTTTCCTCGCCGACGCGACAGAACGAAGCGGCGAGCAGCAGTAGCGGCTCGACTCAGCACGGGGCGACGTTCGCGGTCCGGGTCGGCACGATCGACGGGGTGATCACGCATCACTTACGGGCTGAAACACGAAGAGATTTGGCGGCGTGGGCGCGGGCGATCGTTCAGGGGTGCCACGCGGCCGCTCACTCTCTGCGAGAGTACACTGTCCGTAAGTATCTCTGTATGCTAATTGCGCCCGGACCATCTCGAGCGGGAAGGGCCTCGCGGGAGGGCGGCGCGAGGTCGTTAGGCGCTAATTCCTGCCTGATTTAATAGAAGGGGGAAAAATCAATTGTATGAGGGAATGTCAGTGGAGAGTGAATCAAGCGTGGCGGAGGTACGGAAGGGTTGCGGAAGAATGAGTTGTCGTATTGGGTACAATGGCGCATGCGCAACTCGGTGAGATAAAAATTCATCATACCGCCGTTGTTTTCACGATGAATGCGAGTGTCGTTGCTCGCATAAACAACGGTGTAATTTGAAATACCGTCGGCGGTGGAGTGCTGTTAGTGGAGAAACCGGGTAGTTTCTGTGTCAGGGCACTTGAGTATCTCCGTATTCGGCTATTATCCAAGTGCTACTCGGCGAAACAAAACAAAAGCGGAACAAAAAATATCCCGTAGTATTCATCTGCAATCTGTTACTCGGTTCTTTCTGCCGGGAGCCGATCTCCCATCAACTGATCTTGTCTTTTATCTGTGTCGCCTTCATATATTTTATTGCACTTGAATATCCGGATGCCCGGTAAACGCCTGGAAAACTCGGTTAGTTAAATAAAGATTTTATTTTTTAATAGATCGTCTCTCATCCTGTTTAAATCACATTTTCCCCTAGAGCTTTTTGTCGGAAAAGGAACCGTGTTGAGTAACATTTTTTATAATTTTGCGAAACTAGAAGGAAACGCGCGTAAAAAGCGAAATACTTGAGAAATAAATGGTGAGCCCGGGCTCTTTTTTACTCAGATCGTACAGCAGGACCGAGAGAGATGGACGATAATCGACATCTACGCCGCTGCCATTCTCGTTCTCCGCGCTCGGTTCGATGAATTTTAATTTCTTTTCAGCGACGACGAACGGCAATAATAAATCGAGATGAATGCCTCGCCCGTTTCATACGTGTCTTTTTGTTCGCATCTCGCGTCGAACTCATCGATGATAAAGAATCGTGGATACCGATGCGGCAGAAACGCGTGACGAGGAAAGAAACATATATACAGTCGGGCTCATAAAAAGATAGTCGTTGCAGGAAATTGAATCGAAGCAATATGGTTTTATATATTTTATATACAGCAATGGAGTCTCGTGTAATACGTGAAAAAAGAGAAGAATTTCATACGCGGATTTTATTGATTTTTATTAAAATCTGACTTGACTAACGATTTTATTGAAACCTGATCTAAAGGATGGGTATAAAAAGCGCAAAAATAAGATGATATAATGCAAAAAAGAAGAAAAGAATAACATGGTATGGTCATGCTCGGAGAATGGTGGATAATACAGAGACTACTAATACAGAGACTAAGCGAGTAATAGAGTGGACGTCATTAGGAAAACGAAAGAGAGGAATATCGAAGAAAACATGAATGGAGAGAATAAAAAAAAAATCAATGAATGAGAGGAATACCACGGAAGTACAATGGAACAGAAACCGGAAGGAATGGAGACTGGACACACCGAACAACGTTGTAAGACATTATAAACCGTTATAAACCGAGGAATAATAATCATGATGTAAAAATACAAGGAGATACTCATAACTATGCAATTCATAGCTATATTTTATTCACCGCAACAAATGTATAAAACGTACAAAATTTACAGAGTATAATATAAGCAGAAATAAATAATAAGTTTATGTTAGCGTTTATATAAGAGAGACGGTTTATATAAGAGAGAGAGAGAGAGAGAGAGAGAGAGAGAGAGAGAGAGAAAGAGACACAGATAAATTTATTTTAAGAAAATATACAGGCCGGATGGGCAAAGTTATGTTTGACGGAAAATAATGTTATTCCTTTCTTGACCGCTGTTTTAATTTTATGATATCTCGTGTGTTCCAGGTTGCACGTGGCAGGGCAAATCCTGTCAGCTGGTTGTCAACCATGAGGAAGGATTCGCGCTTTACACCGCCGGAACGCGGGGCACTGCTGGGAATGGCGTGAGTCCTGGATCGCCGCCCACGCCACTCTGGAGAAGATCCTTCGACAAATTGAAAATGTCCTCGGACGATGGCGCCCGTCTTCTATGGCTCGATTTTGGAGGCGAAGACGGCGAAATTGTGAGTACTTGATAGACATATGGATTTAAGCTTGTAAGAATCAAATCAGATCGATTGTAATGTCTGCAGGAATGAGATATTATTCCCGCGGCAGGTTCATTTGGTCCTTTGCCTCTTACCATTAGTGATATATCGATTGTGGTATCGAGTATTCGGAACATTTGCACACTAGTCGGGTATTCGGATATCAACGCGATCGTAACTGCAGCTTAAATTATTATTTTCTGCCAAATTTCTCCGTTAAGTCGCGCAGGATCCGATAGTATCGCTTCGTGCTTCCGTATTTTCCTCCCGAATTTTCCTATCAGGTTATGAGGTCGTCCTTCTCGTTTGCTTTTAATTTTTATAAAACAGATCTCTTGTTCTCCACATGCACGAGCCCTTAGAAACTTTAAACACCCCCGTGTGTCTTTAGTTAGTCCCAAATGAAGAGTAAGACGGACTGATTGATCCTGTTGTAGGAGCTCGACTTAGAGAGCTGTCCGAAACCGATCGTGTTCGTCTTGCACAACTTCCTCTCGGCGAAAATTCACCGGCTTGGTCTGAGTGCATAGGGGCACGAGGGGGCCCTGACAGAGGCCCCCGACCTTCCTCCTCACACTACTCGGTCCGTTACCAGCGTCTTTCTTCACTGAAGCAGAAAGAATTGCGACGCGAAAGAGAAACGGGGGCTTCTCTCTTCGATGATTCGACGGTAAGGAGATTCGATGAGACACGAAATGTCCTGATGGGTAAAAGGTGCTGGGACTAGCTTTGTTAAGCATATTCCGCGTCGCGTGCACCCTCCTTTCGATTCTGGAGCTCCGGAAATCGAGGAGGAAGAAGCTCGGAGTTGTGAGAGAGGGTAAATAGTAAGATAATAAGTGCGAAAAAAAACGACTGGTAGGATAAAGAATTCGTGAATAACGGTCCGAGGATTCCATAACTGGAAGGCCCTGTAACACGAGAAATGGATCTAGCAATCCCGATGTAAGTGTTTCCCAAATACATAATATTCCAAAGGCTGAAAATCTAAGATTCCACGTATGAAATATTTAAGATTTAAGAGTCCATCGATCTAGAGAGATCCTAGTATTTGCGAGTGTAAGACTATCCTCAAGACCTAGTTGTTGGAAACAGCGTTAAAAAGGAAAGAAGAGAAACACATCCCACATATAGGAGATTTTAGAATCCTGGAGAATCATATCCTACTTTACAAGTCACAGCACGCCGATCCGCGTGCTCTAGTATTTAATGTACTCTCGAAAGTCCAAACGGTCGCGATTCCGACAAATTTCTCAAAGTGACAGGATCTAAATATCTGCAGCTCCAAAAGTATTTCAAGTTCAAAAGTCTCAACGGCCTAGTTTTCCTCTTACTAAGGACCCAAAGTTCCAAATCGCATATATCCTAGAATTCTCGGACTCGGTCCAGTGATCCCAGCAGTATCTCGTCAGGGAGAGAGCGAGAGAGAGAGAGAGAGAGAGAGAGAGAGAGAGAGAAAGATACAAGCGGGATAAAAGAAAGGTTGTATAAGTCTGAGCTTGATGGTGCATGTTGGCGAGGATCTTCGAGAGAAGCTCGATCGCGATAAATCGTGTCCGTCGACCCGAGACGGTCGTTAAAAATCGGGTGGCAGTCCCTTTTCTCGCTTTTCCCCGTAACGATAATCGATACGAAGCCATCCACGAGACGATATATTGAAGAAAGTACGACGTGCGACAAGAGCAGAGAGGCGAAGAGACGAAGAGGAACACCCACGCTGCTAATCAACGCGCCTAAGTAACTAATTAATTAACTACTTACCTAACCCTAAGTCTAATCGCGAGGAACTGACTCGGCAGATTATCGATAGATATTCAGATACAGTGTCGGGTGTTAAGTTACGATTATTGTAACGAGCATGTGAATCAGATGAGCATGATTGTTTGAGCGATTGTTTAAATGATGACAACGACATATCGACGCATGTCGGTTTGCAAATGAAATTTGAGCAATCTGGATTCTGGGAAATAATAGCGTGGAATTGCACAACCGCATGCGCGCGCGCGTATCTGATGATCGTTAATTAAAAAAGCATTTCCAATTGCTGTGGAGAGGAAAAATTTTTATTAAAATAAATTTCCTATCAATGTGTTGACAATCTGCTTTCATGAGAAATTATTTGTTTAATAAAATTTGCGATATCAATATTTTATGACACACAGTAATGCGTGTGAATAAAGGCTCGGATTTCATCACGTAGAAATATTTAGATTTTATTTTAATTTAATTAATTTAATTAAGCCACACTTTAATTAAATTACGACATTTTAGCAGATGATTTGCATGCCATTTCCGCTTTTGTCAATTTATGCTTTAGTATCTTCATTAATGTATCATTATTTGGATACAAATGGAAATAGGCCACTGATGAAATCACCATTTTAGCTTGACAAACTTCAAATATTGACGCTTAGTCAATTTTCATATAAATCGTTCGATATTTCGACCAATTTATTTTCGATTGTGTTTAAGTATTGTCACAGATTTGATTCCACCGTAACCTTTTTGAAAAATCTCGCGAGACGAGTGCGATAATCGTCGTGACGATCAAATCGAGCGGTTTGTCTTCGTCGTTTAAACATCGTGATAACTCTGCGTGCACGATCGAGACGTTTAAGTGAAGGAAAGCGTACTTGTTACGAAAGTAGAAACTAATCACGATAAGGTCTGCGTTTCCACCGTGCGTTTAGCGTTTGACACGATCACCCAGTCCCGAGATCCAGCTCTCTCATCGAGTCATCATGTTGTGTGTATTCGACGTGTGAGCTTAGACACCAATCATATAATATCACATTTAATATTATATAATATTATATTACGACAGAATTGACTATACCCACGATAGAATCCACTATAGAGCGTCACAATGTCGTAATATTTGAAAGTAATACTCCAGGAAACGCGGCGGCATTTAATGCCACATTTGTGTCAATGTAATGCGGGCATACGGGACTCCGGCGTTAATTGCACGGTGAAAACACGGCCATTATTATCTAACAATGAGCCGCCCGTTGGCATTCGACCTGCCAGTTCCCTCGAAGACTTAAAGAGTTTACGCGCTCTTTTGTAAGCCCGCAGCGGGTTCTTCGCACACATTCTTTCAAATTCACGTTTCAATTTACGATAAAGCGAACAGAGGAAGTAACATATCATTAAGGAGTGACTCCACCTTGAAAGAATCATATCACACGAACAATGGATCCCTTCGTACAATTAAGTCACCATCGACATTGTTTTCGATATTATTGCTTAATTACGCTGAGGCATAGATTTATAAAGGATTATGCGACTCATCCCCCGTAAATTGTAACATAGTTACTGCAATAACGCGTTACGTTAAGTGTCGCACAACTGTAATTGTTTGGCGTTCATTTTGAAAGGAGTAATCCATAAAAAGTGATTGCACGCGAAACGCACAGAATATCAATCAACGTGTGTGATACCGAGTGACATGACGGTTCCTGTGATATGTCTGTGTCGGAACAACTGATGTACGCGCAGATGTACGGCGCAATAGCCTTAACATTTAGTACAAGCTTACTTTTTCTAATCATGCGAATTTCTTTTTAGACATTAAACATAAAGTTATCACAAATGTACCGCTTTGACAGGATCCGTTTTCAGCAGGTTTCTTCTGCTTTGAATAGTCATTAAAGAATAAATCAATATTGCGTATTAAAAGAAATCCGAAATACCAATAAATTGCGTAATTAAAAAAGTTCTGATGAGCTAGTTGCACAAAATATTAAGGCTATTGTGTCGGTCACTGTATACGCGGTCGTTGTGAAGGAACACAATCATTTTCGTCTTGCGATAGTTGTCAGTCGAGCGCGTAAAGAATTGTCTCGTCATCAGAAGTCGGTACTCGACGGCGCGTCTGTTTTTAGATTTGTCGCAACTTTGTACTCCAACATTGAGAGAAACAAGGAGGATGTTATAGTAAAACGGACACTCCGAGTTATGCCGCGAATTATAATCGACGCGTTCGACTCGTCTCATATGTAGATATTAGAAAATGTAAAAGTTACGCCCGGGCGATAATCTGTGCAAAGAGAATCGTCGCGAAAAACGGTCTCGGATCGAAGTCGTCGCTTTCGGTATACGGCGAAAAGTGTCACACCTCACGTACTTTAATTTTACACCGAGATTTCTGGCCATCTTCGTTTTCGTTTTCTCGAAAAAGTCGAGCCTCGCGCGTCGCACGGTACCAAAGTCCGCGGAGTTGGGAACACCTGGAAAGGACTTAAGGAGTTTACTCCCTTGATCTTCTGGCGGGAACTTTCCGCGAGATAACGTGTTTCGTTTCGGTAAGGCGATATTTATGTCACTCCCCTTCCCCTACCCGCAGTCAAAGCGCCTCGAGTGAGTATACGGAAGTTGGAATATCCTGCGCGTTTCTTGGCCGAAATACCTTCTCGGAATTGTACTCGAGAGCCGCGAGGCGATCGCCATCGATCTCAGCCAGACAAAATGGAAATATCCTCCTCGCGATCGTTCCGAGGCGAGGCGAGGCGAGGCTAGGCGAGGCGAGACGAGGGGGCTCGAGGCGAGAAGCAAGGTTGACTTACGTTCAGGATCCTTCGTCTTCATGTCCTCGCGTTAAAGGAGGATTCCGGCGTTCTTGAATTCCTGAATTCGGCACTGTTAAGATCCGCAAAACCCCTATCTAGCGATGCGCATTCACCTTTCCTTTTATTGCCGGAACGACAGCTGAAGCTACGCGAAGATGCAACGATGACGTTTGACGTAACAATGCGCGCGGCGAAACTGAAAAGTGGAAAATGAAAGGGGAAGAGGCGTTACACGTGAGGAAAAAGAAAGCAAGTAGCTGTGTTTTCCTTCCCCCTCCCCCCCCCCCAAGAATATAAAATGGTGAAGTTTATTGTACAGAATCGAGGGAACCAAGTGTGTCGATGCTAATCTAGAAAAACGATCCATTTGTGCACGATCGAAAAAATTGCCCAAACGGTTGTGTGTGTGTGCGTGTGTGTGTGTGTGTGTGTGTGTGTGTTATATGTGTGTTGCACGAAATTCCTCAAACATTTTGATTTTATAGCCGTATGAATTATGGTACTATGATTCATACGTTCGCGATAAATTTGCACAACAGTCGTTGCCGGGCAAACTTTTAGGTGGTGTATGGTTCGCCAAAAATATCGTTCTGAACCACTCCGGCGTTGCTTATGACTTTAGGCAAAACTTCATCAGAGGAGCAAAACGTAAGCGTGAAGTAGAAACGGGTTCCTTCATAAATCAATGGGCGGCCATTCTAGCTGTTTTGTACGATTCGTATCCTTTAACGCAGGTAACTTAAGATAGCAAGGAGCGTCGATGTGTGCAGCCTGATTTCTTTGTTTCCCAGAATTGCATATCGGATTGATTCGTTCGCGTCTTCATGTTGAAGATGGGGAATGTAAGGATTAAATGATCATCGAGAGAAAAGCGGACCAAGTTTCGCGATTCTCGTTCTCAAAGAGAGATCCATCATTTCTACTTGGAAGATAATAATACAATAAAGACTGTTGGAGGATTCAATAATTAAAGAATCCATTATTCTATAAAATCGTCAAATTCTTAACGTTTTGACGATATGCCTGTGTTTAAGTAAATTTAATTTTAATTGGAATTTATTTTCAACTTATCCAAAATAAATTTTAAGGTAGATTATGGTGTATGGGAATTCAAAAAATTCAACAATTTATGCGCATATGGAGGAAATAAATTCTAGAGTTTACAAATGGTGCAAACATTTATACGAATCCGGTTTCCCGAAGTCTCAGGATGTTCCATAAAATTCAAGAGATCCTTGGAAGCCAGTTTAAAAATTTAGATCACGATCCATGCTCGTGATGTTTGCGACCTCGTTGAGAATCTTTTTGATTTTAAAAAGCAAAAGTGTCGACTTGGAAATTAAGTGCGTGTCAGCAATTAGCCGTTATCGGAGTTTTGAAATCACCTAGAAACGACGAAATCAGGCATCGAAGGATATATCCTTGACACAAAGTTGCGGAAGAATGTAAGAATGGATTTTCTTCACAGACTTTTATAGCATATTGAAGTATATTAACATACTATATACTTCACCAGACTATATCAATGTAAGTAATCGCTATCCATTGCTTTCATCCGCGTAATTTGTTGCAAGATGAACCATTTGTATCACCGACGGAACATTAAGGACCGTTTCTCTGTAGAAATTCGTTCGTAGCCCCTTTCTACGTCTTGAAGCGTTACGAAAGATCATACATTCCTGGTATTTGCTTTCTTCTCGGTACTTGTTATATAAACACTTTCGTTTGACTACTGTAATAATAATAAAACGATAATATTAATATTAATAATGATAATATTAATAATAATAATAACAATAATAATATTTTTACTACTGGTAAATTCTTGTATCACAAATTTGACTAATACGGCGGTCTGGTGTGTGTTATAGAGGCCTGTGATTTTCTTTCTCTGTATAAATTCGAGTGTCTCCCATCGAGATTGTTGAATGTTGTCTAGGGTGGACGTACAATAATAAGATTTAGACATTAAGTAGACATATCAACGAAGCTATGTATCATTGATTGTCTCCATTTGTCATTCTCCGAGCGCTTATTGCGCTTCTCGAGCCGAACCGGCGGAGTCTTTCAGCGCCTCGTAATTCGCCCACGCGGGCTCATTTGTGTATATAGATTATTTAACGCGGTCGCCGCCATGACGATTACTGACAATCGCTCGTTTGTTACGTCTGCTATCAAAACTTCTCGACGACATTACGCCACGCTAATCCGTGATTCTCTAAAGCTAGAGAGTTAGATTAGGTTTGGTATGGTTAGATCTTGGTGATTAATTTTCTTAAACTTCCATTTGTCTCTCTCTCTCTGTGTATTATAATATTAAATAAATTGTGTAAATATATCAATGGATATTTTATAAGTTGCGCGTTTTATATAGTGACGCGGTCTAATCTTTGGCAACGGGAAGAATGGCGACGAGAGTGTTGATGATGTCGGCTTAAATGACTTAGCGTCCGCTTCGGATCGATGGAGCGTAACTCGCAAAAGCATGCGTAAGCAACTGTTAACGAGTTATTAACGCGATTATCAGTGACGAACTAAGTTGGATATTGAGAATTTCGTTGGCGGATTCATTCGCGCGTGGAATGTGTATTTTTCTAATGATTTAGGGCGAGTCGTTACCAATATGTGACGAGATTTACTTTCGCTTTACTTTCTTTAAGTTTAGAATGAGTTTATGTATCGATGAGTTACCAAATAAAAGAGAGCGGTTAGAACAACGAACTTTTGGTTGTCTCTTTCACCCGATTCCATACAATTTTTTTATCACACTGGAGCTTCATCATTATGTTCTCTGAGTTTCATGATATAAATTACTCTCACAGTAAATTATATTTTCTTGTCCAATATAGCGGACAATATGTCAATCTTATTTCTAACTAATTGTTTACGAATAAAAAATTGTTTTGTTCTCATCTCAAGTATATTCTTAACTTAAAATTAAAATGTTTATAATTGTACGATGATATCTAATTTTTCTCAAGGTTATTTCGTTCTAGTCTTCTCCATGATTACGAATCTTTACGAAATTCTGTATGCATGCAGGAGAATTGGAAAATTTTGGAAGCTGGTGTGAAGGTAAGTAAACATAAAAATTATAAATTTGCAATTTCAGGAAAAGGGATTTTCTCTTGGACAGTTAACAGTCAACACGCGATATATCATGATATGGGAGTAGTCCAAAGGTTAAGTAATATTTATCAAAAGGAAAATATATAAGAAATCATGACAACGAACGCATTTTAAACGTTTATAAACTTGCAACGTCGCTCTTTTTTACCTTTTTCTCACGTATTAACATTTATTTCGTTCATTTCGCTTATTGCGAGGAACGCTACAAGTATATCCAAAATTTGAATTATCAATTCTTATATATTCTGTATAAAGAATGTCTAAATGGGGCGTGTGATTTATGTGCAGTAAGCCCCGCGAGCGAAACCGAGGAGATTCTCGACCGGAAGACAGATCAGAAAAGTTTCGCGAGCCAATCACGAGACGTGGATATCGGGACTGCCGATAAAAATGACAAAGTCTCAAAAGTTTTTGTTCCACCGTCCACCCTCTGCTCCGCGGAAACCTACTTTCGCCGTTTCTAGTCACGAAGCTGCGCGATTCTTTTGAATTTCTTTCCAACTCCAATCGCGCTCTTGTAAATTATGTATCGAAACGCAAAGATGAACAGAATGGAAGTACGATATCGCGATGCTGGCGACAGACTATATATATATCTTTTATTATGCATAAATTTATTGAATGTAAGGATTTTGATGAGAGCAAGTCATCATTTATATTACCTAATGTCAAATTTTTGTTAGGATCAGCTTATGGTAAAAGTCAAATAATACATGAGAAATGGAAAACTTCCTTATGTATTTTATAATTATTATAAAATTTAATAATTTAATACTTATTACAAAAGTTGAAAATTCGAATTATTATAAAAATATTGTAAAGCCGGGAAATCGGAATTCAGTTAATTGCAGAATCAAGAGAGGAAAAATATGAAGAAGGAATCGCTTTATTAATGTTTTTGCTATCATCGATGAACGGGCCGAACTCGATAATTGACATTGTAAATATTTTAAGAAAGTAATGAAATCACAAAATCTATACGAGTGGAATGCGGGGAAGGGTGGCGCATGTTAATAAAATATTTCGTCCGTCTTCATGATAAACTGCAATAAGCGGATGCCCCGAACTTTTTGAAGTTATCAATTCAATTTTTGTGACAAATATTCAAAATGTTTCTCTACCACGGCACTTTTTGTGTCTAAAATTGTGAATGCCATCGCTGGTTTAGTTAACTGTTTTTTGTTATTCTATTATCGAGCTCTCGTTAGAGGAACCTCACATTCGCTGCGAACATTTTATCATAGAGTAATTTTTTACCGAAGCTAATTTTCAAAGCCGCAAGAAATAGAATGAAAGAAAACTCTTTTTCACTCGCGAGAAGTGAATTCTTCCGCATAGTGCAATTGTATGGAACGATGCTGGGTGCGGATTTGAAAAGGATTTTGCAAAAGCGTTTTTTGCGATTACTAACCAACAACGGACGTTGTTGAATGGTGCTCCACGTTATCTGTCTGTCTTTCGGCCGTCGCACACATCATCGAATAGCGTGAATTATCATTGTGCTCGGTCGATTGTGCGCGGCGTCCAGCAAAAAAAAGTCGAAGCCGATAAAAACGATCGGAGATGTGACGCGTATTCGTCAAATATGGCGGCGAATTTTCGAGCAATAGCTTTGTCAATTGCCGCTGCGTTATGAGGGTCGCGATACTGCCATATCGTGCTTTGCGCTACAAAAGTTTATCGGAGTGCTCGGCTGTTGAAATATCGCCCACTGCAAAATTCTAAAATAAATTCGCGAATCCTCACAATGTACGCTCTATGACGACATGTATTGATGTTAAACATGACAAGCACAAACCGATTCCTCGAATGTCTATAATTAACATTTTTTGATGAACCTAATTACGGAGAAAAATATGTAAAATTATGAAAATCAATACGTCAAGCTTCAAAGAACATTAATCACTGAACATGAAAACACTGCCTTCTCTCTCTCTCTCTCTCTCTCTCTCTCTCTCTCTCTCTGTCTCTCTCTCTGAGTAACTCCGAGTAATTTACTTTAATCCTTTTGATACTACGGATGATTATAGTCACCCATCGTCGAAATTATATTATTAAACAATTTTTTAAGTCTGAATAATTTAAAATATATTACATTGTAATATCTCATCCTTTATGAACAATTTATCTCTAAATTTATATCATTTTACCGAATATCAAATGTATTCCACGGTAAAACATACGTTGTAACTGGCCCGTACAATAGAATCTTATTCGCGACTCTAGTATCCGTACAGCGGAAACATACTCGCAAAGGATATAGCCATATCGAAAGGGTTAAGGAAGTTTCGTTTTGATTTTCCACTTTAAGCAAATTTTATTCTGATTTCTTATACATTTAACACTGGAAAGTCACGCTGACACGTCGTGTATAATTAATTTTATAAAAAATTGATAAAAATATGCGAACGACGAGAGGAGATATGCACTCCTTGCAGCGTTCCTTGCAACGCAGAATGCCCGAGGAAAATACAATGTGATAAGATCGCTGAAATTTGACCATAAGCAGAGAATGTTCGGTGAGGGCCTCGTCTGAGGACCTCGATTTCACTTCGCGCGCATAACATCTCGCGAGGAACAAAGGACGCGCTAATCTCCCCGCATCGTCCTGTTCCTCTTTCCTCCCAACAACGTTTCCTCTTTCGCGCGTGCTTCGCCCGGGCCAGCTCTTTAATCCTCCGCGTCATTAACCCTCATCCTGCAGATCAAGCCGTCGCGGCTATAAAATGGCGGCGCGTGCGCGCGCTTTGACGTAATTGAAATTACGGCTTATCCGCGCGTGACGGCGACACCGACGGCGACGTCGGTGTTGGTTGCGGCCTGATAGCGGGATTTTTGTAACGACGCCGCTTGTTCGCGTGTCTCTCGGCACCCAGAGGGAAAGGGCGCGATCGAATTTGAAACAAGCGCGCTTGCCGGGGCACGTACACGCCGAAATAACGTCGACCGCCGCCATTTGCATTTCAATCGGCCGTCTATCGTCCTTCGGCGTCCCGACGCAATCGCCTTGCGGCACGCCCGGCGTCCCGACATGCGTTCGCTGCTCGCCCGCTGGCTATTTGCCGCGCACGGAATTAACTCTTTTACGCTCAGCTTTTATATTCCGCCGCGTATATCGCATTGATCAACTTTTCGCAGTCCGAGTGCGAATTTAACGAGATTCTTCCACTCGTCAGTCCGCTACGAGACGGCGGAATTATCCGTTACGATGAAATCGCGTATTGACTTTTCCCGGACTTTTGTCCCGATGGTAGCTATTTTGAGCGGCTAATTGCCAATCCTTATTCTTCGTGAACGTAACGAAATGTTTCCAATTTATTCGTCTCGCGACTTACCCGATCATGACGCGTGGGATCGGTTGTTCAAACAACATACGTTCGAGTTCGAGAAAGGATTAAGGAGGCATTTCAGTCGCAGTCAATCTTCCCTCGTCCTCTCGCACAAGAGGAGACGAAATATTTCCACTATTTTCCAGCGAACACAAAAACCCTGCAGTCTTTCAGCGGAGTTCGCACGACGTCTCACTTATCAACACGGACCAGCCGGCATTCGCGAAATGCTAAAGCTCAAACGATTATTGCCGATATTTCCCGAGGATATATTAAAGAAAGCGTTCCGGGCAAAAGGCGGTGGCGACGGCGAACGCGTGGGAAGCGAAGAGGCGGAGAAGCCAGGGGGAGAAGCAGGAACGGAACGAAGGACGGAAAGAGGTGGCGCAGGAGGGGGAAGGGGGGGACAAAGAGGACAGACGGGGAGAAATTTAATATTCGCGATATTATGCATCGCGGTTTTCGATTGGCGGGAGCCCGCGAGAGAATCGCGGACGCTTATCGATCCGCGAATTCATTCTTACGTCTCCCGACGTTCTCGCGGAACAACTGAGCTTTTGTGGCAAGTTCGAAAGCTCTGACGGCTGTACGGATTGGTTATTAAAGGCGAGAGACGATGCACCTGCCTCCGCCGTGCCCATTGCACAACTTAATCTGTCCGTTGCAGTTGCGTAACTATCGCGCTCTATTGCGCTAGATGCGAAATAGAGCGCGACCGTCGAGATGCTTTCGAGTGTTACACGAAAATGATCAAATTAGATTACAATGGCAGTATAACAGTCGCTTCGTCCTCGCCCTCTCTTCGCAGATGCTTGCGGGGAAATGTACGGGAAACACCCCGGCAGATCTCGGAAAAAAACTTCAGCGCGATTTGACACACTATCGATCATTCAAGTAATTAACCTATTTCCACCGGAGTTCCGTCGAGTTCTCGGAAAAAAATATGTTGGACAAGGACGAGAATGTTCCTTCATTTCTCCCAGTCTGATGCAACGTCCGTCGGAAATATAAGGTGCTGTTATATAAGTTTGATTAATTTTGACAAGAGGCTACAAACCGGCCATTTCCGCCCGCTTGGCAGTTCCTACTGCGTCCTTAAGGCTTCCTCATTTTCACAGTACGTGCCGTAGAGAAAGGGTCTTGGCGAACTCTCTGGAGGAAGCAAATGAGAGAATACGCATGATGAACGTTGGGAAATGTGTTGTCCTCTCTCGGATCGCCTTATCTGTGTCTTCAATTGATTTCCCGTTCTACGGTACACCTAGGGTGTTAAGGTCGGTCGTTGTGGCCCTCGGTCTGCGAGGACTTCGGGGGATTCCCCCAGCGATGTAGCAAGCGGGTCAGTCGAACGCATTCGAGCGGATCGCGACGGTCGAACGGCGATGTCCGGGGCATTGCGATTCAATATCGTTATCTCCGTAGCTTTCACAGAGCGAGGAACACGTATCTGCGTCGTACGTGTTCCGCGCTTAGCTCCCTCGACGTGAGATACACGACCTCGTTCCTCGTCCCTGGCTTTGCTCCCTCGCTCGCCGCGAAATTCCCGTCTTCCCTTTCTCGCTCGGGACACGACGCGGCGCGGCGCGTTCCGTTCATCTACCGCATCGTTCAGAAGTGACTTTCGACGCTTTTCCGACCCGGGAGTTGAAGGAATGACCATCTACCGAGGTCAATCCCGATTCTGCGGGCGCGATATTATTATTCACAGATGTATCTTTGCATATACTCGTAGTAGCCAGCCTTAATTACACCGCGATCCCAGTGCAATTCCAGTGCCTGCGATATGCACGCGAAGTAATTTCTTTCTTTATTCGACCGTTCAACTTCTGGACAAGAAAGGTGTTCCGGCGGGCAATTTCACACATTCTTTAGTTGCGCAGTTTTCCTCTCGCTCTCGTATGTCTTCAGGCCCTAACTGTTGCTGTAGGTATGCAAGTGCGATCGTCGGGGGCTCGGGTTTTGCCAGTTTCTGTAAATGCCTAGCTCACGTCAACGTCAGCGCCGCAAGGCCAGCTTAAAGGTCTGTTTACGTAAGAACGCCACTCGTGGAGGAGAAAAGCAGCGTTTCTTCTCTATCTCGCGCCTCGCTAGCGAAGCTCTCTCGGTCGACGAGATGAATTCCGCGGTACGTGTTTAGCGTTGCACGTCAAAGCCAGTGCATTCCGGCATACAGGTGAGCTCAAAACACACGCAGGATCCCGGAAAGACCTCCCAGTTTCTTAGATGTTCTCCATTCTTTCGTAACACGCGGTACGCGATCGCGCCACATACTTATGCATTCCGCGGATCTGAGAGCTTCCCGGCGAATTCCTCAACTGCTCATCGTCATTTAGCGGTCACCCATCGAAAGCATCAAATCTTCATCTCCACAAACAGAGAAGAGGTTTCTCTTCGCAGAATCGATTTTGTCGGTCAAAATATTTTGAGCCCGACAGCTGAAACTGGCCGGACTTAATATTAAATCCATAACAAATTTATACCTTAAATCCAATACGTTTTATTCTCCATTGAAAGTTTGTAAAAATGTACAAGATGTTGACGGATGGGGACGTTTATTTTAATCGAAGGATAACGGCGAGGGAAAATCAGAAGAGAAAGGAACATTCAATGACAAGCAGCGATAATTGCCCTTTTGTCACAAAGGTACGTATACTTGATCCTTACATTTGTCGACGCTTACAGTTGTCAAATATTTATATACATATATATATATATATATATATATATACATACACACACACACACACACACACATATATATATATATACATATATATGTGCATTATATTGCTCTGGTATCTGGAACCACGCTTCACGCGGTTGGACCTTTACGTATATACAGCTCTCGCGCGCTTCTCGAGAGATCTAGATTAAAGTATTCGACGTAAATTTTGGACTTATCCTTCGGACTTCGGGATTCTTAGGATCGACGAGCGAACGAGTGCCGTGTATCTACAAAGCGGAGATTTCTCTACGATGACAGTGACGTCCAGTACCACTACTACATGCTTACTTACGAACTAGCGTAAATCTTATAGTACAGATATATTATTGTGACAACATTCTCTAATTGGCACTAAGAATTCAAGATGAACGCGAGCGAATACTGTTGGTACGAAGTATTATAGTAATACCATCTTCTACCATGCCGTGCGTTACACTATTCTATATAACGTAAGTTACACGTAATCCGTAACCTGCTTCGAATGCACATATCGATGTCCGCTATTTTCAAAACACTTCTAGAGTACACGATAAGAGAAATGTAAATCGCGAATTCTGAGCTTTTAAATTTTTCAACGGATTCGTTCTCAGCAAGACAGGAAAAATACGTTCGCGTTAAACCGATAGTCTGAGATATTGTTAGAGATATTGTTAGAGATACCGCTGGACGGACCAGTTGGATCAATCTATATCGGAAAAAAGAAATTGAGAAACCGATCGTCAGCTCTCAGACACAATACGATGCATCAAAAACGTCAAATTACCGTTCGGTAAATTCATCTAACATGAAAAAGCTGTACACGTTATTTATACATCGTATCGCGATCAACTGGCGATCGTTGACCATTTCGCTTAACTTTAAGCTACCGCTGTCGAATTTTTGACTTACACTCTTTCTGCCAGGCACTCTAGACTTCTTCGCAGGCATCTTATCTACATGGAAGACGAACGTAGCTTAGGGTGAGTCAGTATGCCGTGTCTGAAACGAGCGATAAGCACGGCTGCGGTGACTTCCGCGTTAAGCTCGCTTAACGGGAGGTGTAATTAATTAGAGGACGAAGTTCACTGTCCTTTAGAGCTGACTCCACCGCGAGTGATGCCGCTGGCGCTCTCTTAATACTAATCACCTACCCTAACTTTTGCCAGCGTACTCCGGGACGGTCTTATGGCAATTAATTGGCTGACGGGAGACGACACAGAGATGATCGAGACCAAGCAACTTCGTGCGGAAAGAGTACAGCATCGTCGAGTTCTACAGACTGCTCCAGAAAGCGCTCAACTTTGTTGTTTCATCAGCTAACCGCGCGGATCAAACTTATTTTTCTTACGAGAAAAAATTACTAGACTACCTCCTCGCTAAATTAATTGACAATGGAAATTGCTACAGTTTGCCGATGGCTTCTTGACTCCTGCCTTGATTTATTTCGAAATGGATCAGCTGATAAATAAATAGACACTCGAGCTATTTTTTATATTGTTTCGAACTTGTGTTAATGCACAAGGGGCTGACTGTTTTGGGATTTAAATCGCGCGCGTACGATTTATTTGTAAATGCAGCTTTTTTTAAATTTTACGTTTTTTAAATTTTACGTTTGGAAAATAAAAATTAATATCTAAATTTTTTTTCAGAAACAACAAAGCTAGTTTGCTGATATGACAGCTTCTGTACAAAACGTCTTTGTGAAGATCTCCCCCTTCACCCGTATGTAAATTTTCCAACATCAAATAAGGGAAACGATATTACAATCTGTTCTCCTAAAAGAGCGTGGAGCCGAATAAATATTACTGTATTATTACACATTAATGTTACAAGGTTTCAATTCCATGAATTGATACGGCACATGCAATGTAGTATTGTTGTGTTCTACGAGAAGATGGCCTCGTCTGGGTGACGCACCTACAACTAAAACTGTCTCTCCTTTCAAAAGGACCACCTCGCCTTCGCCTTCTTCTGAAAGATATTTATTAGATCATATTAAGAAATATATGCGTCGAAAAACAGATAAATAAATATTAACGATGAAATTTTATCTTGATCCTTGAAGTATGCATTTTTTTTGCAAGAAGAGGTCTAAAGTTAGATAATCCTTTTTCTACGTATGCGTGAATGTTGTTTCTGTTTTTCATTAACATTATGTGCCTGCAAAATAGATTGTTTTCTGTGACATTCTCTACCTGGGAAAGGCATTTTCATAATCCTGGTTTGTGGGTAACCAAGCTTTGTGTTTCCGGTCACGGTGTAAGATCTGCTAGGCGGAACAGGTGGCGGCCGCTCCTGCACGATAGAAGGATTGCAGTTGGATATATTCCAAAGTTTTTATTTTCAACATCATCGTGGCAGAAATACCGTGTCGTTGATATTTTGCCAAAATTAACTTTAATTTTAAAGTGCTATAAAAATATCTTGTTTGAAACATTCCGTTTGTTTTTCGTAAAATATTTTACATCTGTTAATATGAAACTCAATAGTCAAATCAAAAGTCACCACAGATTCTATAAAAATTCGCTTCGCAATTTAGGATTTTTAAATACATCTTTCGTATTTCTTTTGAAACTGCTGCATTTTCTTCTTATGAAAAAGTAATATCTAGCTACTAACCAGATCTAGTCCGAAGAGGGAACAGGTCTGCTGGATCATTTTTTGGTCTGCGCATTTCTCCGAAGGGTCGGGGGGAGGTGTGCCAGCGATTGGTTGCGGTCTTGGACGAGTGTTAGTTCCGGTTACCGTGCCGGCAGCGACATTTCTTTGAACGGTTCCGGTGTTGCCGGTAGTTGGTTGCTGAGGTTTCTTTTGACCAATGCCGGAAGTCACCCCTAGATTTGTCCTTCGCAAAGGCCATCCTCTTCGCACTCGCCAACCTCGCCACGTAGCCTGCAAAAACATTAAAGTAAATCTAGTTTTCGATTATTTTTCGCGCCAGTTTTCTAGATATGGAAACTATTGCAATTCAATATTTGTATATTCGCGGCAATATTCAAGCACTCGAGTACTCGGCTATTAATGCTACGAAAGTAGAAACAATTATAATAAGAATCGTATTGAAAAATTTCGAATAATTTTTAGAATGATACTGTAAAGAAGAAATTCTAAGGAATCGAGATGGGTGGTTAAAAAGAATGAATGTACCTACCTGTATTATTATGGCGGCTTTTCTTCGTGTTTCCGCCCGTAAGTTCTCAAGCTGCTGCCTGATACCTTCGCTGAGGAAAATATGACGCTTACCCAGGGCCCAGCTCGTGCTCGCGCCGAATTTGCTCTTCAGCTGCTGCGCGTTCTGCAAAATCAATTTCGTGTCCTCGACAGCCTGTTCCTCGGCGCGGCGCAGCTGCTTGAAGGGCGCGATTAGCCTATATCTCGCGTTGAAGGCCTTAAATCGCATCCTGTGCGGGTATCCTGCGTGAGTTGCCATAAATATTACCCCCAGGACTTTATCGCGCTTAAACATTACGGTGTTGCATGCATATTCATATAATTATCCTACGTGTTTTCAACAAGAATTTGCTCATTGACCGAGATTTTCCTAACCATCGCAAATGTTCTAATAAAGTGGCAAAAGTATTTCGGGTATTAGTTCACCTCCTGCCATGAGATTCACTGTCTCCAGGACCTGCAGCGAGCGTATTTGGCGCATTGTGACACCTCTGTCAAGATGCATCGGTGTCTCGGTGCCATTGCTTCTGATACACCTAACAAAGTGCGGTCTGGCATGGACCAGAGTTCTCAGGAGATTATCTAATCTCGTGTGAAAATCCTGCGTCAACGTCGATATTGGCACGTCCCCGTTTGTACTGCGGAGAACAGCTTTTACTTTACCTTTCCTTGTGCTTCGTGTTCATATCTCATGATCGATTTAATAGCCAATTATTCAAAGAAGCGTTTATGATATATTGTTCGAATTATCGCTACAACACGGCAATTAATTGACTCAATTCTTTTCCAACAGATTCGGAGACTCCCTGCGTCTTTTTTTTCTTTCTTCATCTTGAATTTTCCTCAATTTTAACAAACTTGCTAAAGCGATGACGATTAATCAAGAAAAAGATTTATTAAGATTTGTTAGAGCTGGAGAATAATCGTTTTGTTTAGAAATTTGTTTTATCGTTAATTTGTCGGTGACTCACAGATCGGTATGTGAAGTCGGCGATATTCGAAAACTGACGCCCCTTGGGACGGTGTCGCTCGCGTACAATGCTTTCAGCTCGCTACCGAATAAATGCGTGGCGAAGCCGAAACTGCAAGCGTGCTTGTAGAAGACCGCCACCAGATCGTCGGGGACAACGTCTTTGTTCGTGTCTGCGAAATAGAGAATCGTCTGTAATTTAATTAGTCGCAAGAGAGCAGTTACGGATTTAATCCGACCATGAAATTGTCTTGGCCAATCCCATCTGATATTAATGCATCCCACTAACGAATTAATTGATTATTCACGTGCACAAGTCCGACTCAATGGCATTTTTGAATTGAGAAACTTCATGCGGGATGCCTCACATACCCAGGAAATCCGAGGCGTCGTAAGTGACTCTTCCCGCGAAGTGCTGAATGCCAAAGGATCTGCAGTCGACTGTTCTTGGCTCGAACAGCCGGGGATTCTGCTTGTGCTGCACCTTTACTTTGGCGACATAACTTTCGGCAGTCCCGTGTATAGAACCTTCCACATCTAACATACTTAGCAACCCGGTGCGCTGTAAATCAGAATCGCACAACAAGCCTATTAAACACGCTCCACAAACTATAGAATAGTCCGATGACCAAGCTGAAGAGAGCCGGTTCTCGTCATATTCAAAGCTCGACTTCACAAACTTGGAATTCTCTCTCATTATCTTTTTTTTTTTTTTTTTACCGCGACATAATAATACTTCTCAATTTTCAACGAGCGATGTATCTCGCAGAAATGATGTTGAAAAATGGCTCTGCATATACGTTCAATTATTGATTGAGAACAAACACAATTCCCGCTGGGTCGTAGATATCATTTCTTTCCAATACGTCTTCGATATAAGAGACTTCAAACTCACCAAAGAAGAAATGAGATCAATACATGGCACGTTGTCGACGTAGTCAACTTCGACGTCACATGGGATACCTTCGTCACGGCAACTCTCAATGGAGCTTTTGAATATGTGCGTGTTATAGAAGTGCTGCATCGTCTCCGCACAGAGATTGATGCAAAGGTGCTCCAGCTGGCTCGGCTTAGGGTCCTCGAACCCGAACATGTCCAGGATGCCGATGAAACCGTCTGTGGCATGTCGCACGGCATTATTCAATGCGGTCATGCTTCTAGATCCTGTCCCCCCTGCAAGTCCCAAGAAAACCATTTCCTTTTGTCTCCCTCACTACTTCCAAAAAATATCATACGTATCGCGTCTACGAAACGAGACGTGATTAGCGAAGAAAATTTGACTTATTCATCAAGCTTGGATTCTCTAAAACAACTTATTCATCAAGCTTGATTTTCTCAAAAGATCAACATTGAATTGCTTTATATTTAGTTGCGATTATTTAATATCGATTGTCATCCGATATTTTATTACTTAATTATAATTATGTGCAATAATAATTGTCCCGATTTGCTTTGATAATATGGCGTAGCGAAATTACGACGGCAATTATATTCAATTCAATATATACACCAAACATTCTTTAGATTTTTGTGGTTTACAATTAGCGTTGCAACTGTTGCTTTGAGAAAGACTCACCCGCTGAGCTACCAATGGTGGAGGCGTGTTGGCTAGTAACCTCGGCTTGATTATGAACAGATTCGTTGGAATCCGACGAGAGGGTGCCGAGAGTGGAGCCGAGTCTCTTCAAGCTGTTAGCCCGTCTTACTATTGTGGCTACGGTACGGCAATAGAGTGCTTTTGCCAGCGAATCCCTGGTCATGTTAGACTGCATAAACAAACACTTTTCAGCACGTTTTCTATATTATATAGTATTTGATTATACAGTGGAGAGCAATCTTTCATCACGGTCTAATTCAAATTGATAGAAACGTGCGATTATTTTATATTTTTACTACGCCTCACTGAGAGAACTAAATTGTATAGAAAATGAATTTGGGCATTTGGAATTAAGTGTTAAAAATTTTAGAATAAAGTGTTAAAGTGTTAAAAATTTTAGAATAAAATATTAAAGTGTTAAAAATTTTAGAATAAAAATTGAAGTGTCTTATAGTTTTAATACTTTATCTGAGGACTCAAGAAATTTAGAGACAAATGATTTTTTTGAAAAAAGTTGGCGTATTAAAATTCGATGAATCAATCCTTAAAAAATTTCAGAGTTAAAACACAGAAATCGAAACACTTATACTCAATATGACGAAGAGCGTAGGACTAATATCTTACGCAAAGGAATGATTTACCCACGAATCTGGAGAATCCAAAATCTTACAATCTAACGGATGTAGCGTTCCAAGGGCCAATGTCTGTAATGTTTTAGGAATTCTAAGATCGAAGGGAGTTTCTTGACCTGTGAATCCGAATTTGCACAACATGGGGGATTGCTCATCACTGCTCCGTTTTATCAGTAAAGTCTGATAGCAGTACCATGTTGGCGTCGCAGACAGATTTAACGAGTTGGCCACGCGCGTTGTGAGTCCTCGACGTGAGTCCTCGTAACAAAGCTGGCGGAGGAACTCCCAGGAGTGCAGCTACGGAGGATAACTCGTTCTCACCAATCACACCTACTTCCACGCCTGGACCGTCTGTGAAACCGACGTTTCCGAGGATGAGTACCGCCGCTAGTACCCTCACAACGTCCAGAAACGGAATACCGAGAACACCTACGGAAAGATGAAGGCCCAAGGGCCATAGTATTAGCTTGAAAATGTCATGGCAATTAATGCAACGTAGTGTAATGTTTTCTTTACGGTGCTTTAGTTAAATATTATACTATAAAAAGTTCTCAACCCGAATATCCGGATGTATTTTTATGCTCATTCATTAAAATTGAGAAGAAGAAAATTTTACATTATGACTTTCTGCATTCCGAGGGATGCGCATACCTAAACAAGCTTTCCATGCTTGAAACCGAATGGCATCCTCAGTTTCGTCCTGCCGCGTGTCGCCATGTTGGAGATATTTCAAATTTTTGAGATTGTACCCCTCCAGATTCAATTTGACTATGTAAAGGTAATTGATTTATTATTTAATGAGTCATTATCAATTATTTTTATTACATTAATTATCTTAATAACAGTATCCGTTTCAAGTGGATATTACGAATGCAGCATGTTCCTTACCTCGCTCGTCGTGAGATAATCCAGCCAACATTTGATAAAATATGTGATAGTTTTTCTCGTCTGACAATGGTCTGATCACTCTCGTTTGGTCTAAGAAGTAACAATGTATTTTCGTTCTGTACAAAGCACCATCCGTCACTTGAACCTCGATGAAGTGACCCTAAAGATAAAGATAATTTGACATCATGTGTTGTCGCTGTTACTGTTATACATATTATATTACAATATTTTTTTATTATTATATTGCTACTCGTAATATTTTAAATTCTAATGTGTGTCATTAGTGCGTGTGTTTTTTTCGGGTTGCCCAATTATCGGATATTAAATTCTATGTTTATGCATAGCTGAGCACAGAATTTATCACACAGATCGCGTACGAGTTCTCACTTCTCTATCTATTTCTCTCTCTCTCTCTCTCTCTCTCTCTCTCTCTCTCTCTCTCTCATTTCTCCCCTTTTTTCTTTTTCCTTCTATTTCTATCTCATGCATTTTTAAGCGGAGCACTTACTATCCTCGAGCTCTCCGAGTTCGTAGCGGTTTTCGCTGAGCCCAAGGATCTGAGAACCGTGAAGGCTGCCGCTAGATGTTTGAAAGCGTCCGTTTCCGGTCCGCCGCCGGCGACGTCGAAGAGTTGCCTAAGTAACAGCATTGAAGCGTACGTTTTTCCGGAACCGCTCGTCCCTGTAGAAGAAGTTCCAGAAATCTGCATTCCTGAAGAACGGAAGAGGAGAAAGAGTCCATTGGGAATCTTACCGGAAAGGATGATTGCTTGCGGATACCCGGTCTCCGATTGCTGCCTCACAGCTTCCTGAACGACCTTGTTCAGCTGGGGTGTCAATGGCACTGTCCTGGTGCTCGTTAAGGTCAACGGATTCCCAACGTCCGTGTATGGATTTACGCAGACCAGTATGGGACCTACGTTCGTCTGTGGCAATAGTTACGTTTCTCTTGTGAATGGACTAGTCTTGCAATGAGCATTTCTTGTGACACCGTTATCCTTGTAATCACTATCATTATTCTCGTTAATAATGCATTAATTTCAGGACAACAGTGTTTTGAAGTATTCTCGTATTTTCCAAAGTCTGTTCAATTAATTTTTCCCTGTCAATCGATAATTTATTCCTCAAATTAATTTCTAATTTAATGATTATTTTTATTTTCCAATTCTTACGCACTCTACTGCTCTACAAGATCTATCATTTCTCAAAATCCACTTTTTTCCACTTAATTATACAACTTTCCAATTTGTGGCTCAAATCTCTTCGTTGATATTAGAATGCCACCGAAGAAAGCAGGACGGGTCGACGAAAAAGGGATAAAAGCGTCCCAAAGTGTGGAGCAGATTGGCGGGAACGAAGGAAGGGGGTAGAACCAGTCTTTTGGCGGGCCCTGTAGGACCTACAGGTGGAGGAAAGACGGTGGTCGGAATTTGCGTGTGCGAGCTGTAAACAGATCACGCAGCTGCATGCATGCCGACATAATGAGAGCGTCATCGATGACGAAGGGAACTATCTCCTGCTACGTTCACAGGTAAATAATTATGCCAGCTATTAACTTGTGAAGTGCGTGCGGTCGCTTAATACGAGGAAATTGCGCGAAAGTCGGCGGCGAAGTCTCATCAAAGTCCTCGGACTTGACATGTTCTCGAGTCTTACAGCCGCAATTTTCTCATTCCGCGATCTGCGTTGGCAGTTGATAATTAGTTGATAAATAATCGCAATCGCAGCGCATCGATTTAAGAACATTCTTCGAGCCTGCGTTACTCGGGGGAATTTGCAATTTCCGAATTTATGATTCATTCATCATTCACAAACCGAACCCTTCGTTGATCAGAGGTCGATCGATAAATTCTGCAGGTTCTATTCAAATGTCGAAGTTCAAGTCTGATAGATTGCATAATGAACTTGCGTAAGTATATGATCAGCTTGCTTCTTGCGGTCGAAAGGAGATATCCAATCAAGCGTAACCGGCGAGGAAAAAGGTCCTCGCTCGCTCGAAGTACCTAAAACACGGAGAAATCAGGAGTTTCTCGATAGGCCGTCTAAACGAGGAGCCGTCGCTGAAGTACTGGTCGTTTCGTATAAAAAGTCGATAGCCTATTGCGGGGAGCTGCCCATCCTGGTGATAGAACGATAGATAACGATAGTTGGGATAATCCATTGTGACGAACACGAAGGTTCGTCCATAATTACGGGACTTCACTAACGAGCTTCGAACTAGAAGCCTGAACTAGCAGCCTGAATTAGCAAAATACCGACAACACGAGTTCGATATAAATCTCGTCATATTCTCTCACGCCTCTTTGTACAATTCTCTCCTCAATATTAACGCCGATAATCCTCCGAGAGCTTCCGCCCATTTCGAAGCACCTCATTCGACAACCGCGCTGGCCAAAATCGAACGTTTCGTTACGAAGGTAACGGCGATATTATCATTAGGAGGAAACGCGCGCGATGGACGTTCCGCGCGTTAAAATTGATGCGGTTAGCCGTATATAGCGCATGATAGGAAATGCATGAAAATTAAAGTCGGCGTGACCGAGGCCACACCGTCGGAATGCGAGCGTACCACCTGTGCGTGGGTTTCCTGTGGCAGGGTGGCACGCACGAACCGGCCGAGGGACAGGGTGAATTCTTAATGGCGGCGTGTATCAGGCGCGCTGTACTGTGTATTTGCGTTATTGCGGGCACCAACACCGGTGCAGCGACGGCGCGCCGCACCGTACACTTCTGAATGCGACTCGAAGCCGCCTCTTTGCATTCCGCTCCGGCACAGTCGCGTTATTCGTGCGTGGCTGCACGCCTGCATCTCTGTGCACACGCGACTCTCATGAACGTTAGCTTCCTCGGGACGTGCTCGCGCACCTTGGGATTCTAAGATCAGCTGCAACGGGAAGTTGCGACTTTTGCGACTGTGCAATGGCGGCTCTCACGCTCTTTCGCACGTAGACCCATATTTCTCGCGATATATTCAGCGATATATTTAATAATCGCCTGATTCACTGAACGCGATTTTCGTGTCGCCAATTCGAATGTCCGATGCTCCGGCAGGCCGAAACGCTCCAACCTGTCAGAGCTCGGCGCTCTCAAGGATCTTGTTATGCGCGAAGGACGCGAAGGAAGTGTCTGAAGATTCCTGCGTTTCAGGGAACTTCAGGCCGCTCATTCGCTCCAGACGAAAGCAAGTTGGTCTTACATGATATTGCTTGGCGCAGAAGCGAGCTTGTAGACACTTGAGCACCGCGTCTTCTGTGAGAGGTCCGGGTAGATGAATGAGGTCGTCCAAGGCCGTGGAGGTCGCAGGGCCGGAGGAAGGTGCGCTGGCTTTCGGGAGGCATCGGTGCTGGGCTTGATTGCTCTTCGCGTTCTTCACGTCGGCGATGATGCTGGAAATCGGCGGCGACCGGAGACATCCCAATGCCGTCACACACGATACTATCCCGTCGTCAGGTACTCCGTTGTGCCGTTTCGAGGGATCTAGATCTGAACAGGTTGACAAATCTAGAGCGTCTCCCGACAAATCGTTATCTATCTCGTGAAACGCACGAAATGCTTCACTCGAGCTTCATGGAGCAATACGTGCGAGGAACAGGCAGGAATCACACCTGTGCTATTCTAAACATGCCGAATAGCAGTGATTTCATGACCGACACGACCGGGAATACTTGACCGATGAATATCGGATTATCGCAGGACACCATCGTCGTTATCTTTAGAATTCTGGAAAAGTCGTCCTGTCAGATGGCCGAAAATGCCGCGTAAGGAAATTCCAGATGATGTTGTCACATCAGCGTAGCCAGATACTCGTTTATTATTCAGACACTCTAGTCGGAATATTTAGACAAAGAAAATAACTAAATCAGACTGCCGCGGAAATCAATAGCAGATAGCAGGCGGGTATTTCGCCTGAGTGTTCCCTTATGGAAAAAACACTTAATTAATAAATATTGAGTGTTTTACTCTGTTGTGAATTTATTTTGAAATGTGGCTATATAAATCTTAATACTCAAATTTGATAGAAATTCGAGCAATTCAGTGCGAACACTCCATATTTTAATGCTTTTTTTCCGTGAGAATTACTGGCGATTTTTACTTTTGAGCACTCAGGTGCTTGATTAATTCGGGCGGTATCCCAATAGCCAGGTGATATCCAGGAATTGGAGGGAAACACCGGAGAAATATTCGAATATAGAAATGACTCGATTAAAACCGGCAGCACTAATCCCGGAATACTGGAGGCTGTGTAACGGACAGAGATTCCTGCGCACTAACCAGATATTAAATTATTTGTTGCGGTCGAGTTGTGACCGAGCGTATTTGTGCCGGCATGATTGACGTGCGGATGAACAATTGCGGAAGCTGTTAGCGTGTGACCCGCGGGATGACCGATCCCGTGAGATACGCCGCCACCGGGAGGCAGGGTGGTCCTCGGAGGTACCGCCGGTGCGGGCGAGGAGGGTGCGCCGCTTTTTTCCGGGCTCTTTGACAGGGGCCCGGAGGTGCCGCTCGCCGGTCCTGATGCATTTGCCGGTTGGCTCACGTGCAGCCGGTTCCTTAGGGTCACCAGTTCCGTGCTGAGGCTCCGTAGGCGTTGCTGTAGGTGCACCGCTTCGTTCGATGAGGAAGCATCTGTAAGAATCAAGCAAGGGTCTTCCTTCAGACGGGATGCCGTCGATAGAGTTGAACGCAGTAATGCTATAGTCTGTGACGATTAGTCTCGTGCACCTCTAGGCATTATACCTTGTGCATAATCTGGCCATGGCATCAAAGGGAAGAGATTAAAGATACTGTAATACAATAAGACGAATGAATTTTGTATTGGACGTTAGAGGTATCTTAAACGAACGCCTTTTGTTCCTGAAAACGGGGAGAATATGTTCGTGATTCCTTTCCAACTTGATGATTCATATTAAGTTATAAATATTGTGACTCAATGAGTCATGGGTATTTTTCACTTGGTACTCGATATCCTAATTAATGTATTGTTAGGTATTTTCTTTAGAAGAAGTGTCTTGGTATCTTGTCTCTTTTTTCTTTTTGAGATATTTGGCTATCGCTCGATAATTAAAGAGAGGTCGTTTCAGCAACCGCAGGAGGATATGTGTAGAGTTCACTGGACACGTTCTCCATTTGTGACACATTCTTTCTGGTTCAACGTGTTCTCGACTTCATCTCTCATTATTCTTTTTATCCGTCGCGCTTGTACGCGTCTCTCGAGCGGCCGCGCGCAGCTCTTCGGGTACCGTTAATCTAAGATACAATGGCGGATAAGTTGAAATGAAGGAGGCTGCGCTCTCCATGGACCTCGAGATTTCTCTTCGTCGCCCGAGGGAAACCGAGCACTCCTGCAGTCGATTGTAGTCACGTACCACGCGACCGACCAATGCGTTATGGTCGTTGAGTATGACCTCGCCGAGATACTGCCGACAGGTGTCTTCGGAGATATTAACTTTTGCAGGAAAGACTTCTCGAAAGAGTGCAAATCAGATCAAGGTTAAGCGTGTCATTGAAAAAAGGCTGAATTGGAAAACAATTAAAATCAAAATTAAACCCGTAATTAAAATTGAGGGAGGAGCCACTATTTCTTTACTAAATGACACATCCTGGGATAGGCAATGCATCAGTGATGTACATTCGTTTAAATTATTTTCCATATGTATCTCAAATAGAGCTTTAATTATCTGTCGCTCAAAAACATGAATCATGGAACATGGAGGAAAAAGGAACTGTCGTTAATATGATTTTCGATAACAGCGCCAATACTATGGGGCAATAGAACCATCTGCACAGATTGACTCTATCTATTTTTTGACTTGCAAAGCTAACGGTATAACGATTTATCGATCTGTGAATCTAGCAATTTACCGATATCTGCGAATTCTCCAACAGCAATGGTAGTAATTTCTACTCTTCTCACAACAATTCGCTATTAATCGGTCATCGGTCCAACTCATCACAGATAATAAACTACTGTAATAGTCCGTACTCTTCATTTTCATCGCAAAATAACTGAGAAAAATATTTATTATACATTCAGATTAACCTCTCTCTGCTTCCCATTTGAGAAACCAAACTGGTTTGGGTTAATCAAAGGTAGATACAGTTATTTTGTAATTTCCTTAGCTAAATTCCAGCTTTTAGCTTTGAATTTAGTCATGGTCAGTCATTAGCTAATAGCCAATAGCTAATAGCGGTTCATTACAAAGTTGACACTTAAGACTCGAGTTGATGAAGTAGCTATTAAAAGATCGATGACCTCCCGCGATCGCGTCGTGTCGTAAACATTACAATAGTCTCATTTTCTCTTCGGCGGATAAACTGCCCACGTAGCATCTGTATAGATCAGCGAGCGAGCCAGCCAGCCAGCTTGCCTGCCAGCCAAGGCCGATTATCAACGATCTGAAATCGCGTTTCCACCTCATCAGCAATTCTCCATGGTCGATTCCGAGTGCGATCGAAAGTGTTCCTCCGGTGTGTCGCGCTTCTGCAGAGGACGTGTTTTTCTCCCTTTTTCGACCTGTCGCTGAACTCTCCCGACTTGGTGATACACGATACCCTGACGCTTGATTCGCACCGCGGAACTGGTCTCGTTGCGCGGTACAACTAACTTCCGGATACGAGATTAGTTACATAACCGGTTCTGAGCCGCGAAGTAAGTTGTTTAACGCGCATAATGCTCGCTGATGCCGAACTAGGCGGAACAGTGAACGCATCGACGTGCGTCAAGGGGGAAAAAACACCCTAGTCCACGGGGCTACTCGCCGTAGTTGATTTTAATAAATCGACAAAGTCTAGAAATTTGACGTCATTCATCTGAAAGTTAGACCGAGTGATTTCGAATAACGGTGCCGGCATCCGCCAGTACTCGAGTATCAGCCGGATGACTCGAGTCCTCCGGATATTCTCCGGGCAGCCGTGGGTACCGGTTATTGTGGAAATTATACCAGAGTATCGTGACTGGTGTATATTGTACTTCAGAGGAACATAAAATAAAATCAGCTGATGCGAATCAGCTGCCGCGGAAATCAATAACGCACGGCAGACGGGCGTACTCGGATAATTCCAACGGATTTTGTGTATCGAGTGAATATCTGAGTATTCGGATATAAAAATTGGGCTGATATATAACAAATATATGAAAATTATAAAAGTGCTAGAGACAACGATGATAACAGTAACGACGTAGATAACGATAATAACATTATTAGAAGCAACAACAGTCGCAATAGCAGCAACAAGAATTAAATAAGATTGACGAATAAATAAATATCAGCCGACAAGAAGCGTGGGTGATGAATGTCTTGAAATTCTATTTTCTCGATTTTCTAGGTATCCTGTAATATAGCGGGCAGGTCCTACTACGTGGGAATTAAACTGCGCAGGTACCTTCGGGGGCTGAATGCTCCGTCGAAGAAAACAGGTTCTTTTTGTCTTCTTCTCGCCGCACGTCTACACTCCATTCGTTATAACTCCTTCGACTAATGTTTCTTCGACTTACATCGCCGCTTTGACCTTCCCTTAGATATTACTCTCTCTTTCTTCCTAATTCTCGGTGGGCTCACGAGTGGGCTCTCCTTGAATCTATAAATGGTCGAAACTAGAGATCCCTAATTCCTCGAATCCATGACTCCTTGAATTCTAAAATTTCCCGCGGATTAGCGATTCAAAGAATCAAATTATTATTATCAGAGAAGACCGTGAGAAATATATGAATATAAATTATACGTGTTACGAAATTAAATTATACGAATGATGTAAATTCCGGTTGCAACTGCTCGCATGAATTATGACTGTTATAATTTATATAAATTATTAAGCTATTATTATAAACCATTAATACGTTTAATATCATTAATTCTTGCACTATTAGCTCTGAAATACACAGATTATTTTATTTCACGGAATCGGAGGCCCATCAATTGAATGTACTAGGAATCAGTTTCCATTTCATAATTACAAAAATTGAACATATACACATGCATTTCCACTGATTTAATTACGATTAATAATTTCCATGTAAACATTAACTCCATTTCTTGTGAGCCCTAGATATTAAAATTAAACTAAATTAATGAATGATATAAAGAAAGTTGGAATAATTTTTGATTAAAGTGGAAGATTGGATCACAGTAACTAGCGCGTGACAGTAAATACTGCTTAAAAAAAAATTGCAGGGGCGGGGAAAGCTTGAAAGAATGGGAAGTAGGATAAAGAGAAAAAACGAGGGACGAATAGAGATTACCTTAAGTGCACAGTTATGGTTTGGCACAGGTAACCAGATAACGAAAGAGACGAATTAATCGCGGCAGGTACTCTGCATTCCTCCCTTGTGCGCGCAGATTACCAAATCGCGGCGAAGTTAATGGCGACGCCCGTACGTATGTCGAAACTTAATTCGTAATTAGGCGTAGAAGCTTATCTTAACGCGTGATATATTTACGAATTTGGCCGGCCGGTATTTTTCCGAAAAGGAAAAAGAATCCTACAATGACTCTTATTCCACAATTTCCGCAATGAAACTTTGCAGGAATTAAGCGCAAAGGTATATTTAGTCCCATCCAGTTCGTTTCTCCCGATTACGCTGGAAACAGCTTCGTGTAAAATAATCCTCGAAAATATTTCAATTCTTTTTAGTAACTTGATAAAGATGTCGGATAAAAGAAAAAGAGGCACCAGGACTTGTGTGGCGACTTCCATAATAATGTGTGTATTTATCTTTTATAGAAATTATAAGAAATATTTTTATAAATAACAACGGGATAGCGAAATTGCACGGCTTAGATGTGTCGCATTTAATACTCTTATATTCTCGGTAATTTATTAATTGATTAGAGACACAAAAGATAAAATGGATTCAAGAGAACTAAGAACGCATCAAAACGAATAGCGTTCTTATGCGCTGCTTTCTGGCATATCCATCGGAAAGCCAACATAAGCTGTCGCGAAACGTGGTCGTCCAGACACTTGCATGATGTCTCCACAGGACGGGAGCGACAGGATATATGAGATAAATAAGCGGCTGTCGGGTCCGTGTTGCCTTAATAAAATGGTAATTTCCCACGGTGCCAATTCGCCGTGGAACTTTGCAAGCGTAACGCCACTAACGAAGTGACAATAAGCGTAACGACCTCGCGTTATCAAAACAGGAAGCTTCATCTAGGATAACACAGCTAGTCTATATAATTTCTATATTGAACTTCGCGATTACTTTTGCCATAGTCATTAGTTAACCAATCAGTTTAGTTTTTCAATCAGTACAGTTTAATTTTTTGATGTGTCACGCTGTAAATCTCGTGGAAATCACTATGCATAAGTAACATATTTTTTTCGATACTAGAAGAATATGTTCGCTTATGTTTCGTAAATCAGAAATTGGACACCATGTAAGCACGAGATGAGAATAAAAGGAAGAAAGAAAGATAAAGAGAATGCTCGAAATTAGTGATAGCGATATCCGCTCAGATATTACTCGGACAACAGAGTTAATATTCTGTGGACTGAGTATCCAGATACCCTGTTATTTCAATTTGTTATTCCAGACTGATATCAACCAGACTGAAAACATCAAAATCGGATTATCCAGGTATTCAGATTATATTCGAATATTCGAGTCTTCCGGATGTTTCCCGAGTGCTCAGTTATTTGTAAACTACCCGGGATAATCTCGCGGATGCCTCGCTAATAATTAATTGATAATCATCCAAAATTTTCCACATGGCTTTCAGCGGATGCGTTTCTCATACACCTCTGAATTCGAATACCGGATAGATAATCGGAAATTACCTCGTTTAGAAACTGACAGAATTATTATTAGAAACTGTTGACTAAATATTTCTGTTGACTAAAAATAATTGACTAAAATATTCGTGGAACTGTATATAAAGCAGTACTGTCGTTTTAGATTTCAAGTTTGCATTCGAACGCATGCGTGCGTGTGTGCATCGCGATATGATCTATGCACATATGTGCATCATCTACCTTCGTTCTTCTCACGCACATGTGCGCCCGCAACACGTGGGATCGAGCGATTCAAACTGGACGTACCACGCACACGCGCGCACACACATACACATTTAGGCCGTTGTCCCGTATACATCTCAACGACAAAAGGCTTCTTTTCTTCATCACTATAGGCTCTAGCGAAAGGTGTTAGTTTCTTCAAATCACAGGGCTTAAATAGCTACTGAAGCATTATGATTAATTCTTTGTCATGCCGAACGCAAAAACATTTTCGGTTGACAAAGAAAATATTGTTCGGTTAAATGAACATACAACCAATCACTATGATTGAAAAGTTGCAAGTTCTCAATTAATTAAGCAATTAATCCACTCCATTTTTCATACAATAAAAAGGAAGGATTATTATTTTAATATATTACGAGAAGAAGAAATAATTCAAATGTTGTAGAAATCCTGAGGATTTGAAGCTGGTAAGTCAACAAAGTAGTAGCAGAGTTATTGTGTTATTTCTTAATTTGCTCATATATTTAATTAATTCTCAGCTTGCGGGTAATGATTTCCCGCTCATTTCTCCTTCTGACTTTCCAGCAGGGTTGGGATTCTAAGTACTTTTGGAACGTTTACGATTGCTTTTGGCAGCCGGTAGACCGTTAGTATTCTCATAACTTTAAGACATTCTTCTACGAAAATAGTTCTTAAGGCTGTTGCATCTTTCCAACTTCAATTTCAAGAGAAATTAATGTCAAGAAATTAAATAACTTGAGATTCTGTGTATGCATGTGTGTGCGTATTAAAAATCTTTAGAAATTTTTTAAATTATTTAAAAAAATTATCTCTTTTCTCTCCTTTCATTCCGAACATGTTTATTTAAAGAAACTGCATCATTAAATCAGGCTTGTCACACGGTAAACAATAAAATCATTTCTGAAATTTCTGCTATTTTATTTTTCTTCTTGGTACTACGCGATTAATGACAATAAAGAAATGAGAAATATTTTAATTATAGCTCATTTCCATCGCGATCTTGCTCTTCCTCCCCACCTAATTACTGCAACTGGGAAAGTCTGTAATTGTGAAGAACGCGCTATAGCGAGACAATATGACATCCTGTAAGGATGTCATAGACGATGGTATAATAGTTTTTCCCAGCTGAGAAACAAGAGAGTGAAAAAGTTATCTTGATAAGTCGTCCTTTTCGTGAAATTCCTTTCGTTATGTCTTTTTCTAGAGTGTGTTTTGAAAAGGTTGGCATTTGGACAGAAATGATGTCACGAGGAACACTAATCATTATATAAGATTACATAAGGTGTACTCAGAAATAAAGAGACCTGCTTTCAGATACAGAGTAGTTTGTGTTATATAAAACTAAGTCTTAAAGACCTACGCCGAATTACATCACAAAGGAATAACTGAAATTAAATATCACGTTAATTACACTGAAATTTTATTTTACTTCAAAGTTTATTTAAAAAATTATGCGAAAAATGAAATTTAACATTTATTCCAAAGCTTCTTTTCCAAAGCTTAATTTGCTAATACGTTTATTTCGAGTTGTAAATTAGCAACGATAAATCTCAGAAGAATGTTAGGTTAGAGATCGTGAAAAATCAGCAGCAAATTAGCTCAAAGGATATACGGTAAGCAGTAAGACTGCACGAATGTGAATTATTACGGCCGCTTAATGTACGCGGTGCAAATTTCTGATTCCGGGGATCGCGTAAATTTTTTACGAGGGACTTTAATCTCTCGGGTACAGTTAAGAATGCTGGGAGGTAATCAGGGAAGAAGAGCCACGAAGACATAAAGAAACTGTATTACTTTAACTGTAAAACGTAGGCAACTTTTATAACGATCACCGCAACTCTTCATTTTCAGCGCGACAGTATCGTATCAAGGACTGCACAGAACCCTTCTGTGTCGTTAAAAAAACTAGAAGTTTAAAAATATTCCAACAAACTGATCCTCATCTACGTCCTTCCCTGGGTGAGAACAGAGATTAATCAGGCGTTCAAATTTGGGAGATAAAAGAAGATGAAAGAAGATGAAAGAAGATCAACCGATACAGCGAGCAGTAAAATGATGCTGCTTTCTTGAAAATATTTTTTTAATTTTAGCCTAGTCGTTATTGTGGAATTCTTTAAAAACTTGAATGTTTCCATATAACAATAGAAAAATTTTGTACAACTGCATGTAACTAAGTTAATCTTTCTCATTTACAATCTTTTACTTCTAGAGTTTACACTTTAGATAAACTTTACTTAAGTAAAAATCATAAACTTTAATGACCCAAAGTCCAAAATTCCTAAAAACGAGGATATTAACCGAAAAAGATACAGAAATATTACAAACTTGAAATTTAAAGATTAATATTTTTTTAAGATTTAAAGGCTTTCAATATTTTATAGATCTGAAAGTTGATGTCTTTAAGTCCATAAACATTTTAAACTTTTGAGAATAAACATGTAAATTTTTATATTTTAATTCCCACAATATTAAAATCCCCGAATTCGAAGGTTAAAATACTCATGGATCGAAAGATTACAGATCTAAATATTCTATAAATCTAGGGATCCAATGAAAATATTTTTGGGAGTTCTGAAGACCCAACGAAACCAATATTATAATTTAAACGTTAAAGGTCTTTAGAATGAAGAGAATCATACGAGATCATACTGATCAATCAGAGGATGCACTCACGGCATTTTGCCATACCTTGTAGCTTCTTCTCCGTCTCCCAGAACTTCTGCAGCTCTGTAAAATATTTGTCCAGTATGAAGACTTTGGAGAGGCCGAGGGTAGCCATTTCAGGCGCTTGAGACTCGATCTCGTCCAGAATTTCCCTCACTGGAACTTCCTTCTAGAGTCGATCAATCGAGTGTGTCTGCGGACCTGACACTTACAGAACATCTCGGTGTTCCCGCGTCTTTGTGTCCTCGGTGCACTCGTCACCGCACTCGCACATCTTTCGCGCCGCAAATTAGCCGAAGTTGAGAAAAAAGAAACAAGGAAAGACAAAACACTCGAGACTGCGTCACATCGCACCGAACTTAATCCTGAGCTCCACCACTGAGTTAAGACCTAAGATTCGACGAGACCGTTTCTGCTTGGCCTTCCACCTGAATTTCGAGACAGCGCGCTGCACACTGCACTTTCAGCGTCGGAGGATATCCGAACGAACGATAAGGCAATGGCCGCATTCACTGATAAGACCCACTAACTGATTTCGACGTGATCACTAACACCAGCGCAATTTTCTGCAAGCGTAAACTTTGCCAAACAGCTACGCGCTTTTGAGCACGTGAAGAGTGCCGAGCCGTCGCGTTCAACTGGGCGTCATTGTTGCCTGGGACCCACCTCCGTACCTGAGCCTTATTTCTTTTAAGGTTTCTTCGCCGTAACTCCGGCGGGCGAGAGCTGCGAAGCTTACCTGGTCTTCAGGTAGTTAGGTGGAAGGCACCACACGGGTACGTCGGACTCCACGATATCCGACGAGTGGAATTGGTGAGGAAGGAGGGGAACGAAGAGAGAAAGGTGGGGGCACTGGTCCCCGACTGGACCGCTCTACGCGAGGCTGTGGAAAAATGGCTGCGGCCCTAGACTCACCTTAGGCAGCTCCTTCGACCTCCACGACTTGCTGCGGTTTATCGCGCGCCTGACTGATCTACGCGGTGAGACTTAAAACGGGAACTAGACCCCATAAGGCGGAACTTCAAGTGGACTTTGAGGAGCACACAAATCGGATTAGCTGAACGATCGAATTGTGCCTGATGCAACGGAAGATCCAAACCCCAAAAATTTATGAGTGAAATATTGTATTAAAAACTACATCAGCCATACTATTTGTACGTTGTCTTTTGATCACCGAGTATTGGACTATTAAACTAAGACGTGAGAGGACAATCCCCTCTTACACGATAGAAAATTAACATCTAGAAATAAGCAGATGTTAAGTTGTTATTGAAAAAACAACTATTTTCGAAGAAATGATGGATTACTTCGTAAATCGTGTCAAGATTACGTTTTCAAAATCTTAATTGTGACAACAAATCTATGCATTTAGATTCATTCTATACGTTAAGTAGTTGAAGAACTAACGGTTCAAATATATTATTCACTCGCCAAATTCACTCAGCCAAATTGCTATACAATTTTACTATGTAATTAATTCCACACCTATGACCAGTTTCTCTCAACTATCGAGAGCCATCAACCTATGCCCTTCCGATATAAATTCGAAACACCTGCCTTAAGTACACGCATCTCTTCTACATCTTTAAGTCACTTGTTGTTAGTGAGCGTTCATCCACTGACAAGCAACCATTGAGCTGCTCGATGAGCGCGACACGCGATACATGTCACCTGACCCATCTACCCAATGAATGGCTGCTCACGAGGCAGCCAGAGCAGCCGAAGAGAGACACGAGCCTGAAGGAGGTTTGCGCTCTCGTTTGCCGGGCGGTTGAAAAAGAGAGGACAAACGAAGAGATCGATCTTCGTGGCATTCTTGAAGCGCCCTTGCTCCCTTTTTTGCCGAAACGACGAAGAGTAGGAGAGAGCGAGAAAACATGAGAGAGAGAGAGAGAGAGAGAGAGAGAGAGAGAGAGAGAGAGAGAGAGAGAAAGGGGAGAGAGGATAAAGATAGAGAGAGAAAGAGAGAGAGAGAGAGAGAGAGAGAGAGGGGAGTGTGGAGAAGGAGGATGAAGAAGATTCGTGGTACACCGAGGGGATCCCGAGTGGACGTTTCGAGGCGCGTTCCGCCTTATAATTTTGATCTACAGCCGCGAAAGGAATCCAACATGGCCGTGCCAGCGGCGGGCTTACCCTGTGTGTCGTAAACAATGCAACATCGTCGTCGTGAGCAACCGCTTTCTCGCTCTGTCTCCTCTCTCTTCCTTCTCCCTCGCTCACTCTTCGTCTTCTCCTGGGCCTAGCTTGCCCACCTCCCGCGTAGCAGACTTGTTTCTCCCCACTACAGGAGCGGAGGAAAGGCCCCGCGAGTGGTAACGCGGAGGGAGGAAGGAAGGCCCTGGCAGGGGCCGACGACCACTATAAGCAGATCCCTACCACCGAATACGCTCGCTATCGACGAGCATGCGAGAGGTTAACTCCGTTCGCTCGTTGAGAAAGCAGCGGAAGATTCGATGAACACAAACAGCTGATTTAATATAAATAACGAATCTCTAATGATGTGCGCGCATATCGCAAAATCGACAATTTGTTTTTCTCGAGGTTTTTCGCTTAATGTACATTTATAGAGACTAACATGGCATCGGACATAATTGTGTAGAAAATACTGTGAAATTTGTCTTTCTACTCTTTGCAAATATCCTTTTGAGTTATTGCTCAAAACCATTTTGGAAATTTCAATTTGTCGTTATGATAGTTTGCAGATTTAATATAACCGCGTAATAGAATCATCCTTCATTAGGACAAGATCAAAATATATAAGAAGAGGACTTTTTTGATATAATAACGAAATATATAAAAAATTTGTATTTTTATTTATTTATAATGTATTCTTTATTAAATTTCATGTTGTATCTCATTTCAGCATATAGTTGAATATATCAGTAGTAACATGTCAATCTAAAAATTTGTTGTAATCATTAAAAGATTTTGGCATATGAAAACTCACAGGCCTAAAGTGTGATGAATTGAAGAAATGTTGAGTATTCCTAGTGATTCGATTTAAGGCCCCGCTTCTCGGCCGAAGGAGAAAGGCAAGCAGGAGAGGAAGAGGATCTGCTCTTTGCGGCGAAATTCAAATCTGCCTGTAGAAAACCGGTTTCGACGCGAGCGAGACTGGCTTGAGTGAAAAACAGGCCCGTGCGGCCCTTTGCAGGTTCTATTCGCGCTAACTTTGCGTCGATAAGGCAGGCGGCGATGCGATTCCAGTGGGCCCGTAGGCCCATTGGACTACCAGCACAATCTGGCGAGGAGATCCGAAGATCGTGACTCTCCTCTTCGTTGATGTTTTACCGATGTACGAGGCGGGGCCTTTTGAAGTCCGCCTGTTTGCCCGGGCGATGCGTTACCGATCCTCGAAAAATTATCCCGGGATCTTTTTATGCATTGGCGTTATGCATTGTTATCGATACACATGAAAAAAGCGGAACCTTATTGAAGGACATTTCTATGCGAGCCGTGGATCGACAAAAATTAAAGAGTGGATCGACAAGTTGAAACTTGCGCAGTAAAGTCGACAAGACACCGAGGCTTCATTGGCCTTTATTATTGAATCATGTGCTTGGAACATAATGTAAACACAACGAATTAATAATAACTTTAAATAACAAATATACTGCAGCAAACATTACTTAGCATACATTTATAATTACATGTAATTATACTATATAACCGGATTAGCAATTAGACTTCATTGAATGCAGTTTAACGCTTAGTTAGCGTATTATCATTACTGTTATCGTATGATAATGATTTCTCGAAAAGGGACCCATTCCATGTAAATGGGTCGGTACTACTCCCCTTCGGACTTAACGGTCGATAAGCAATGGAATGGCCAACGAATGCTTGTTAATTTGCCATCGAGTGCTCGTACTTTAGATTCAGCGACAGCTAATTAGAATATGCCTTGATAATTAATGTCAGGGTCAGTATTTTCTTTACCTCTCGTAAAAATGTGCTTTTCAAAGTAGTTTTTCGTTCGAAGATAATCGGTAATGATGTCAGATACAGATATTCGAATATTTTAAGTATTTCTCTGGTATTTGAATATCATTCGAAGATTATACGAGTGTTCGAGTAATTAATGTATGTAATATTTTGAGAAGAGAAAAATCAATATTATCTCATTTGAAATTGAAGCCATTATGAAAATCAATAACATATATTCGTAACTTGACATTTCCAACATCTAAGAATTAATAGGGTTAATATAGCTATTTTTGCTCTTATTCAGAAAATATATAAGTTAAGAGAAAAATTAATAATTTAGAATAATTTTGTCGCTCGGAAGTTTGAAGCTGTAATGCAGCGTACACTTGAGGGAGAAGCGAGTTATAACGGTTGGGACGAAGGGAGTAGGGGTATCGTGAATTCGTGGGGCCCACAGAACCTTGAAGAAGCTTCATGGGCCCATCCATCAGCGGTTGACATCGGACCAGATTGTCCGTTTTTGTCCCCTTTTCTTCGTCTTTCTTTGTCTGTGATTCGCTGTGCGGTATCCAACGCAAGGAATAAAAGAAAAAAAATTCACGTTACGATATTGAAACTAAAAATTTGATACAACGATCGATATCGTAAAATTGATGAGGTGTCCATATTGAAATTTCGTAAAATTTTGAAAATCTGAAGCTCCAATTTGTAGAAATGGGACGACTTATTAAATATGAAAAACTGACACAGTCGTTGAGGATGAGACCGATTAGAAATTGAATTTTAGGAAACTTGGATCTCAACAATTTGGAAAGTTGGCAGTTTGCGAAACGTAACATCAAGAGTGAAAAGAATGTAAAATTTGTTTCTCCGCCATAGCGTAAAAATATTCTGGAAATCAAGCAATTGCGAAACTGCAGATCCTTATTTATATATTCCAGGAGACAACGACCTGCTGACGAGTATTCGGCTAACGAATTCTTCCATTTTTCGTTCTCTCGAGTCCCACGATCCTCCTTTCATCGTCCTGTTCCCCTTTCTCACTGTCCTTCCCTTTTTCCAAGCTCACATCTCCCATTTCTGTCTTCCGCGAGAGATTCTGGTTTCATGTATTTTCGCTCCCTGCCTTTCTTCCTTCTTTTGACCTTTCTCGTCTTCGCTCTCCGCCTTTTTTGATCTTTTCCTGATACAGACATTATGCTGATCCCGCTCCACTTCTCCCGTTCCCCTTTTCATCCTCCGTCCGTCTTCCTTCCTCGTCGTAGTCTCGAAGCTGCGCTTCGCTCGACGTTTAATTGGATGGATCGGAACGACATCGACCCATGAAACGCGCTTACTCGCGTAACAATGGGGACCGGCCAGATTTTTTGGTGGATCGGTTGCTTTCTCGTGTTGCGTCGGCATTCACAGCGTATGTTCGCAACGTGATGCAACATGAACGGAAATGGCACTATTGTTCGACTCATATTGCCGTCATGGTCATCTTCCTCACGCAAGTGTAATAAAAAATTTTTCCGAAAATTGCAAGTCATCTTTCTGTAATGTAAGTAATATTTTAATCCTTTAGAATCACAATAATCTAACATGATTTTGCCATTTTTATTGATAATCTTTTTTTTTTATATCCTTCTATCTCATAATTCGAATTTAATTTGGAGTAAGCAGCTCTTTTGTACTTTTCCTCTTAAAAATTGTTTCATTCTCTCTGATGCTTAGGCCATCGAGATCA